TTCCTTCTTTTTTTATAAATAAATTTTTAAAAGATTAAAAAGTAGGGCTGGAGAAATGGCTCAGCAGTTAAAAGCACTGGCTGCTCTTGCAGTAGACCCAGGTTTGAATCCCAGCATCCATATGGTGGCTAACAACCATCCATAACTCTAGTTCCAGGGGATCCAACGCCGTCTTCTGTCCTCCACATACACTGTGGTACACTTACACACATGCAGGCATAACATTCATACACATTAAATAAGAAAGAAACAAAGTTGCCAGGCATGGTGGTGCACACCTTTAATCCCTGCACTTGGGAGGCAGAGGCAGGTGGATCTCTGTGAGTTCAAGGCCAGCCTGGTCTACATAGTGAGCTCCAGGCCAGCTAGGGCTACAGGTAAAAAAAAATCCAGATCAGAGGCTATGACAGTTGCCCCAGTGAGAGTTGATTGGAGCTTGTAGCTCAGTTTATACAGAGAGCCAGGCCATGGCATTGGGGGGCCCTCTGTGGCTCTGGTGAATAAGGAGACTGGCAGACTGGAAGGAGGCACAGAAGGCATACCCAAGGGTGTATGCTGGAGTAGCCATATCATATTGGTCACATACCTAGAGGGACTTAGGGTCAGACATAGGCTCTCAGAGCCCAGAGGTTCCTGAAGCAGGTGGGCAGGAGGCAGAGAGGTCCGGCTACAGCTGCACTACCTAGTCAGAGGCAGGAGAGCAGGGATGGAGAACAGAGGCTGGAGAGGGGAGAGTCAACCTATGTTGGCTGAGGAGTAGCTCCCTGGGAGCTTCTGACCACACTGTGTGTGCATGGCATGGCTTCTCGCTTCATTTGGAGAAGGAAGCCAAGGCTCAGGGAGGTCAAGAGGTCAGTCTGCAACTAAGTGGGGGTCTGTATTGATAGCCAGGCCCTCTCAGAGGATCATGAGGATACTAAGGTAGTCAGTGGGTAGATGTCAGGAGCTGGGGCATCCTTGGATCAGACACCCAGGATGGATACTCGGGGGCTAGAGTCCTCGTGCCCTAGCCATCCTGAGTTCAGATCAGCCAGGCCTGGCCTACCCTGTCCATGGCCACGTGGCTGACGGGATTTCCGCCATGTTTGGGACATGAATTGACAAGTGCCCCATTGACGGGGCAGGGGAGGGGGTGGGCAGGGCACAAGCCTCCCACTGTACTGTGTCCCCACCCTCCCCCGTTCCCCAGGACAATGGTCAAGACTCAGCCAGCAGCCACAGCTGGTGGTGGTGGGGGACATGAGCATGAGAAAGGCAGGGAGGGGTCTAGGGTGGAGGGACCACCTGGGTCCCCGCCTGCTTGCGTCCTGCACCTGGCTTGGGTATTCACAGCCCCTTGTGCCCAGCTGGGTGGTCTTAAAAGGAGGAGAGAAGGGGAACGGGCCATTTTCCCACAGCCTGGACCCTGGCCTGCACAGGAAGGGGCAGTGCCTGGCTCTTGTTCCAAGCAGGTAATAAAAGCCCTAATTAGTGTGGAGCCTCTGGAGTGCAGTGCTGCAGGACTGGACAGGACTTGGAAGGGGGCCCTGTGTAGCCCTGGCTTCCAGGCCTAGAATGAGCTGCTAGAGGTCCCCAGGCCCTGTAGCTCTACCTCCGGTCCCCAGTTTGTTATTTTGCTCATTCATTCATTCATTCATTCATTCATTCACTAACATTGATCTAGCCTATTGTGTGCTAGGATTCTTTCTTGAGACAGGGTCTCCCTGTAGCCCCAGCTGGCCTGGACCTCACTATGTACAGCAGGCTGGCCTCAAACTCACAGAGTTCCATTAGCGTCTGCCTCCCAAGTGCTGGGATCAAAGGAGTGCGCCACCACACCCAGTGCTAGGATTTTTTCAAAAAGATTTTATTTACTTATCTATTATGTGTATGAGTGTTTGCCTGCATGTATGTATGTGCACAGGGTGCCCATGGAGGGCAGAAGAAGGTATGTAATCTCCTAGAACTGGAGGCTGTGGTCCAGTTCCTGCCCTGGAAGCTATGGGTAAGGTACCTACCTCTAGCCTTAGTTTCCTCATCTGTAAAATGGAGGATACTTGCCTCATAGGAAAGGTGGCTCTTGGGATCTGGAAGGCAGATTGTAGGCACTCACCCTCCCCAGGGAGGTGTGTGCTGGGTGGGCAAGTGGATAGCCTGATGGGAAAATAGAAGAGGGGCTAAGGGGATGGAGGCTTCTTGGGTCGGGATTGTGGATAAATAGAAACCTGCTAGAATGGGATCCAGCTTTCTCTGGTGGAGGCAACAGCATGTGCAAAGGCCCTGTGTGGGTTGGCCTATTTATCCTTGGACAGGAAGGAAGCAGGGGTTGGGCTTCTGAGAGTAGCACAGATGAGAGAGGAGGCAGCTGAGGAGCAAGTAGAAGGCAGATCATGTAGGCTTTGGACAGCCAACAGGTCTGGTTTTATCCTTACCAGGGTGAAGTTGGAGGGTTTGAGGGATGGGGATGACAGATACTGATTGGTAGCCTTGAGGTACCACTTTCTGGTTGTGGGGTTTTGGGTGGCCTGTGGCAGGTCAGCGCTCACTTCCCAAGGCCTTGGAGATTAGGGGATGAACACATGTCCTGTTGAGACTCCAGCCTGGCAAGTGCCCCTTGTTGGAATCCGGTATTCTGTGATTCTTTTGGCAGTGGGGAGTGGGTAATACCTCGGGGACTCTACTCTAGCCTCAAGATTTCCAGGGTCTTGTAAGGCTCTGCGATATGGATTTCCATGTGGTAGATCTCCAGTCGACTGGCAGGCTCAGATTCCTGCATGGTGTTTGGGCAGTGTGGGGAGATGAGACTTGCAGAGAGAAGGAGGTGGGGGGTCTGCATGCCTCAGGAAGCCTTAGCTTCTCCCCCAGCCATGGGCACATCCCACCCTGCCATCAGCCTCCTCCTCCCCTTTCCATCCTACCGGCCCCTGGCACGAGAGGGTCCCTCCTCCCACCAGCCACATCTGGTTCTTGTTAGGGTCTCCCAGGATGCCTGGGCCTGAGGCCCTCATCCCCCAGAGGAGGTGGCAGGAGGATTAGGGGTGATTAGGAGTGCTCCTGGCAGGGGAGGAGGGGCTGGGATGGTTATAAACAGCAGCCCATGACCGCTGCAGCCCATCACTCACTGGACGTGCCAAGTTCAGTCTCAAAACCTGCAGCTTCAGCGGCTGGGGCGGGATGGAGGTAGGGCGCCAGTCTCTTCTGCCTCCCCACTCTCTGGGCTTGATCCTCCTTCAGGAACCTTCTAGCAGGAACCAGGCTGGGGGAAGACTGCAACATTAGCTACACCTTCCTCCCTAGAGTCAGGTTGACTCTTTTTTGCTGTGTTGCTTTGGGGTAAGATGTGACCTCCCTGATTGGTGGACGCAGAGATAGTAACACCAAGTTCATGGAAGTGATTGAAAGGTAAAAGTGTAAAGTACTTAGAATACTGTCCAGCCCAAGAGCTACTCAGCCAATGTGAGTCTACCATTACAATATGAATTCAGAAGGGCTAGTGAGTACTCCAGGATGAGCTGCCATCATCATCAATGTCACTTCCCTCCTTGCTATTATGGACTGGTAGGATTCAGTAACACATTGCCCATGAAGAGCTGGTAGAATACCTTGCTCTGTGGTGGCTATTTGTGGTGGGTGGGTGTCCTCAGTCCCAGCTGGGGTGAGCCAAGGTGGGGGTTAGCAAGAGGCCCTGGCCTGTCGCAGGCAGCGTGTGACTCCTAGGAAGGCTTAGTGGTTCATGCTCATTAATCAACTAAGCAGGGCTCAGCATTCTTCAAATACCGGGCTGGGGATGGGGAAGGTCCTGGGCTGGGGGCTTGGAGACCCCAGGGTGCTGGGGGTTGGGAGATGAGGACAGTCTCTCCATTTTCAGAGTTCCCACTGTGTGCTGGGCATTTAACAATCCTTATCTTTACAACTGTCACAATTGTCCAAGAAACAGCTGTCCATACCCCCAGTTTATTAAGGAGACTGAGGACCAGAGAGGATATGGCCTGCCTAAGGACACAGCAGGGAATGGCTGAGTTGGGGTTAGTCCCTGATGTGTCTGAGCCCTGTTCCCAGGATTCACCAGAGAAAGGACACAAAGTGTATACCCCAGACTTGAGGCTCCAGAGGGTCCTGCCTCAGTGGAACTGGCCAGCCCAAGTCTGCAGCGTGGGTGGGGTGCCCTCCATTATCGGGGTTGACGCATCTCCCACGTCAGCCCCCTTATCACTCCTCCCTCTGGCTCCCCCCGCAAGGTGACCCTGGGAGAGGAAAGGCCATCTCCACCCCCTCTCCTCCCTTGCCATGGGATTTTCTTTGACCCACCCCTTCATGGGGTTGGGTCAGGGCCCAGGAGAGGAAGGCTGGCAGACAAGCAGGTGGCACCGGTGGAAGAGCAGAGTTCTGGCTACTTCCTTCCTGTGTGGGGCTAGGGCAAACCTTGCCTCTCTCATCCTCTGTCCCCTTTGGAAAATAGGGACTGAGCTCCCCAGCTCCCAACACAGAGGCAGGGGGCCTAGCTACCCCAGGTACAGCAGGCTGGATACTCCTGATCCTGGTCCACAGCCCTCTAAAGCTGGGGCCCAGGGTTCAGTGGCTTCTCATATTCCTGGGCCCCAGGATGTGTGTCCTGCCCTGCCAGGCCTCCTGCCTCCATGAGCTCATAGTTGGGTTTCCTGGAAGGGCAGGACAGGATAGCATTCTGGGTCTGAGGCAATGTTGCTTGCACCCCAGGACACCAGTAAGACAGAGGGACAGATGAGAAAAAGGGGATGATGATCCTGTCACATAGCTAGAAAAATTACTTCTTTTGTCCCCAAACCCACACTCTGGGCTGTTGATCTCCTGGGAAACTGGAGGTGGCCTTCTGGGGTGGGGAGACACACTTCCTGGAGTGGTCCTAGGTGGACAGCGAAGGGCCTTAAATAGAAGTTGCTGGGTTTCAGGTCTCAGAGGATCCAGCTCGAGGAGGGCTGGTGGGTGCGAGGTCTGGGGTGTACGGGGAGCTGCCTGTAAGCCCAGCTGCCCCTATCTTGCAGGCCATGACATCAGCGGTGCCCTGGAACCTTCCAACATAGACACCAGTATCCTGGAGGAGTACATTGGCAAGGAGGATGCCTCAGATCTGTGAGTCACCTCAGCTGCGCTCCCTGGGCAGTTCCCTGCGGGAGGGGAGGGAACTTTCCCTCGGGCCTGGGGACCTGGGGGCTGAGCCTCCTCCCTTCCCCACAGCTGTTTCCCTGACATCACTGCTCCGGCCAGCACAGCCTCCTTCCCCCAAGGGCCACCAGCCATCCCTGGCTCCAGCGGGCTCCACCACCTGAGCCCCCCTGGGAGTGGACCATCCCCAGGGCGACATGGCCCCCTCCCACCCCTGAGCTACGGCACCCCACTCAACTGCAACAACAACAACGGCATGGGTGCTGCTCCCAAGCCCTTCCTAGGGGGCTCTGGGCCTCCCATCAAGGCAGAGCCCCAGGCTCCCTATGCCCCAGGGTGAGTGGGGGCAGGGAGTGGGTGGGGACAGGATACAGGGGCACAGTGGCCATGGGTTTGGCAGGTCCTGGCTTATGGACTTATGGTGGGAAGGGTTTAAATGATAGGCTGCCTTGTGGATAGGTTAGGATGGGGTGATGCCAGGCTGAGGGGAGACTTGTGAACTTTGTTCTGAAGCAGTGGCCACCATTTCTGAGGAGGGTCAAGCTAAAAAGAAGTCTCAGACCGGGCGTGGTAGCACATGCCTTTAATCCTAGCACTCGGGAGGCAGACGCAGGTGGAGCTCTGTGAGTTCAAGGCCAGCCTGGTCTACATAGTGAGTTCAGGTCATCTGGGGCTACAGGGAGACCCTGTCTCAAAAAGACCCCCCCCCAAAAAAAACAAAACAAAACAAAACAAAAAACCTCTAAAGGAATGCTAGGACAGAAGGGAAGAGACTGGGGACCCCAATACACTCCCCTGCCCCTCCAGAGGGAACTTTCTGTGGCCATGTGTTGTCAGTGCCCCAGATGTGGCCCTTCAAGCTGCCCTGTCTTGGGGAACCAAGACCAGTCACATCCTGAGGAGGCCTGGCCCTGCAGCCTCCCTCATCTCTCTGAGGAGACCACACTGGGCCAACCTCATATCTAGCTTTGACCAGCTGCAGCCACAGCCTGGTCAGACTCTAGAGCACACTCAAAGGGGAAGGGCCCAGAATGTGGATCCACCAAGATCTGTACAGGGGACTGGAGAAGGTTCTGGGGTCTCTGCTTGAAGCAGGGCAGTGGCTGTGTCTCTGGGTAGAAGAAGGTTATAGGGAGCATAGATGATGTTGTATCCAGCAGCCTGGCACCAGCCCAAGCCCTCCCGCTTGCCAGCTTCTGGGCTTGGTGACCCCTCCCCTGATGACTTCTGTCAGAGACTGGGGTTCCTCCTTTGTAAAGTGAACCTCACAGTCATGATGGAAACTAATTGGGAGTAAGCAAAGAGGAAGTGTTGGATGGATGGTAGTCACTGACACCTTGTCAGCAGGGTCTCCTGAACCCCTGACAGGATGGCAGTAGTGGAGGCCAGGTATGGGGTGCCAGGGTTGAACCGTAGCAGCGGAAGGTAGGTGGCTGCTTGAGGGCATGACTCTCCCTAAGCCCAAGCTGCCTGAGTGTGGAGGGGATAGAACTAAGGTTTAAAGGGCACCTCTGGGTTCACAGTGCCTCCATTGGTATAAGTTTAGCATGTGAGCTCTGAGGCTTTCCTGGGAACTGACTCTCAGAGTCACGTAGAGACCCTGGTCCAGGCTGTGTTCTAGGTTATAAACAAGACAGACTTGTGTCCCTTCCTGGAGTCTGCAAGTGGAGAGAAATGTATCAGTGCATAACAGGCTGGGGGTGCTGCCCAGTAGTAGAGTACATTCTAGCATGCAAGGCCTTGGGTTCCACCTCTAGCCCTGAGAAAATAAAACACTATATCACCAGACAGAAATAAGACATGAAAACAATTTATCAGAGAAGATTATAGGGTCCTATGGACTTGAAACATTTGATGGCAGGGACTGGAGGGTGTGAAAGACCTTGTCACATTGGGGGAGTCCAAAAGCATTGTCAGGAAGTGAGGGAGCAGGTGGACGATGGATTTGGAATGGCACAGCCCTGGGACCAACGCCATGGCCCTACCCCACCCACTTTTCTGTGTCATCCATAGGAAACCTTGTTTTAGGATCCTTTTTTTTTTTTTCACATTCTGGGGATCAAACCCAGGGCTTTCTCATGCTTGCTAGGCAAGTGCTTTATCACTGAGCTACATTCTCAGTCCTTTTTACTGTTTGAGATGGGGGTCTCACTAAGTTGTCCAAGTTGGCCTTAAACTCACTCTGTAGCCCAGGCAGGCCTTGAACTTGTGAGCCCCCTTCAGCCTCCTGAGTAGCTAAGACTACATGCTTACACCCATAGGCCCAGATTTAGGGTCTGTATATGTGAACTGATTTCAGAGATCCGTGAATGAGGTCTCCACTTGCAGTGGGGGATGGGAAGGGAGAAAGAAGAAGTGGGCATGTCTTGTCCAGAGATGCAGTAGCACTTTGGAATCAGTGCAGGACTGTCCATGATGACCCTGCAGCCCTTCTGGAAGTTTCCTGGGTATTGTGGAGGGGAGCGTCTCCAGATGTGGGGATGAGAGATGACCAAAAGCTGATTCCTTGAGTGGCTCCAGTCTCTCTCTGGGCAAGCACAGGGTTTGTTCAGGACGTGATGACCTCTGGGCTTGAGTTTGTTCTTTTGCCTGAGCCACTGATAAAACTTGCAAGGAAAAAAATAAGCCCAGGCCCAGAAAATCTGGCTCCTTGCCCAGTTCACACCTGCGCTGGCAAAGCAACCCCTGGTGACCCACTGAACCTCCTCAGACTCAGCCTCCATGTCCCCCAGATTTCCAAGAAACTGTGGCCTTCAGTGGGTGCTGAAAAGAGGCATAAGCCTAGCCCCTTGATTTTTTCGGGGGGTGAGGTCATTGAATCTTGGTGCTACCATCAAGGATCTGGCCACTGGCCCATAAATAACCATTAGGTCCAGGGATCCTGGGCAGGACCCAGAAGGCCTCCACACAAATCGGAGCCCCGGGGCCTGCCAGGCCTCCAGGGTAGGTGGAAAAGAGAAATGTCCCTGGGTGGGTGTGAGGAGATCTCAATGTCTCCTGTCTCTGGGGAGGTCTCTCTGCAACCTGCCAGTCAGAGGAGCTTCCTGGCTTGAGGGCTGGGTCTGGGGCATTCAGCTGCCTGTCCTACAAGCCTCCCTTCTCTGGCCCCCTGCAGCACACTGCCGGACTCACCCCCAGACTCAGGCTCCGAGGCCTACTCCCCCCAGCAGGTGAATGGTGAGTCCAGCGGGCAGTGCCACCTCCCCCTCTGGGTTTGGGCAAGTGGTTGGGGCGGCCTTATCGGGGAGAGAGGGAGGAGGGAGGGAAGGGGCCAGTGGCTGCCCAACGGGCCAGATTATCACTGGTCAAATACTCCCCGGCGCTGGCTATTGTTCCCCCACGGGCGGGTGGGGAGCCTGGCCCTGCCTCAGAGTAAGTGTCCCTGCCGGTGATGCCACCACCCAGCCACCTGCGCCATCATGGACGCGCCCTTTGGCGGTAAGTGGACAGCTGGGGAAGGCCATTGCTGGGCCCACCTGACTTTACAGGGAATTCAGGGGTGCAGTAGCCCCCACGTGGCCAAGAGCAGACTGACCACGGGCAGCCTGAAGAGGGGTCAAGAGTTCTGTTTATCTTACCAAAACATCCCTGGAATGCTTCCTGAGGAACAAAGGGAGCCATGGGCCCCCCTCAGGCTGCGGGGGCGGGGGGCAGCCCCTGAAACTGGGAGAGGGTCTGCTGAAGGAAGGAGCCTGGGTGGGGGACTGAGCTGGGGTGTCCGGAGATGCTTTCCTCAAACCTGAGAAGAGTTGGGGGCTGCAGGAAGTTGGAGCCTGGGGATCTCCTGAGGAGGTTGGCCTGGACAACCTTCCGGAGAGGACCGGCTAGGATAGGGAGAAGGGCAGCCAGCCACTACACAGGGTCTTGCTTCCCTGCCTAGCCTCTAGTGGCCGGCTGCCCAGTCTCCCCATCCAGGCTCCGCATGGCCCAGGAAGGCAAAGAAGCAAGAGACCATGCCTAGGGAGAATGGGTGAGGTAGGTCTCTTAACTCCCGTCCCCCATCTCTCCCACAGACCCCCATCTCCTGCGCACGATAACCCCGGACACTCTGTGCCACGTGGGAGTTCCCTCCCGACTGGAGCACCCGCCCCCACCCCCAGCCCACTTGCCAGGCCCCC